TTTTGGTTTAATATTATAAATTTTATAAAGATAATAATTAAGTATTCTGTTAGAATTTAATGATTATACTAATTATATTTTAGATGTTTTGTATTTAAAATGAGATGTTTATCCTGTATTTGGTTGTGTTTATCTGCAGTTAGTTACATGAATTCAGATATGAGATGAAATCGGATAAGGATGAAATCGTTTAAGAATGAACAGGTTTAAGAGTTTTTAAGAGTTTTAGCCAAATGCTTTATATGATAGTATAGATATAGGAGGTTTACTTTGCAAACCACGTTATTATACAAACCGTACAAATCTCATTCAACCAATCATAATTTTTCATTTTGTTCACTTTTTTGTAATTATGAGAGGTTGATTAATCATTTTTATTGTGAAAGATGTTAATTATGGATATTATCATCTTCATTATTTAAATTTTAGAGAAATAAATGAAACAATTTCATTAAATTTTTATAACCATATATGAAACAAATTCATCAAAAAAAAGTATTATATGAAACAATTTCAAAATATTAAACAATTTCATGAAAAAATTTCATAAGATTAAACAATGAAATCGACGGATGAGAATAGTTTGCACGGTTTGTACAAATTGAATGGTTTGCATTTGATCGCTTCTCTCTCTCTCTCTCTCTCTATATATATATAGAGAGAGAGAGAGAGAGAGAAAGAGGATATATAATATATATATATATATATATAGGTTGGTTATTATACAACCTTTGATATTTGTGCAACCAATACAACCTAATTTCAACCATCCATTTCATTTGATTAATATGTGATTTTATAGAAATTTTGATTTTTTCCTAATATAAAGTATTAATCATAATTAATGAACCATATATTCATCTTACATAAATATTCAAATCATAATAAATGAATTCTTATCATTTCCATAAATATCTCAATTTATTGGGTTGCATTGATTGTACAAATACGACGGGTTGTATTTGAAACAAACTATATATATATATATATATATATATATATATATATATATAAAGAGAGAGAGAGAGAGAGAGGGATTTATATGAGAATGATAACCAAATAAGAAAATAAGTAAATAATTTTGGACCAATTGTTTATTTGAATAATGTTTTAAATAAAACTATCTTAAAAATCGTTCAAAACGGTATATCTGTCATTTGTTGCATATGAACTATATATGAAAATTTATTTATTTCTGCAAACGTCGTTTAATTAGGATATATGTTTATAATTTTTTGTTACAATTTTTGTGATTTAAGCATGATTAAATAAACCTGACTTACTTTTTCATTTAAAGGGCAAATTGATTTTTAATTTTTTATGATATTTAAAATAAAGGTGATTTAGTTTTTCATTTAATATGTTTATTTTTTTTAAATAATTAATTTAAGATTTTTTATAAGTTCTGTAAAAAATCACGTGTAATATCCACAATTAATCGAAGTTTTTTTTCAAATATTAATGACTAATTTTCATCAAAATATCATATGTAATATTGTCATAGTAAATTTAAGTAGAAAAGAAATGTAACTATCTACAATAATACATGTGATATTCATAAATTATGAATTACGTTTTGAAGTACATGAAGTCTTGCAGGTATTAAATTAGTTATGCTATACATCACATGTGATTATGTTTTCATTATTTTTTTTCAATGTTTAATTTGAATCATTGTATTTCGCACTTAAATTATAAGTGATTAGGAAAAATATTTGAAAAAAATAATTAATCGTCAATCAAATATGGAAAAGGGAAAAGTACAATAAAAACCAATGAACTTTCTT